CTTTCCGAGGATGGATCCAAGGGTTGGAAAGCTGCTAGGAGCAGCCGTTCTGATATGGGGTTTTCCGACATTTAGGGGGTACCTTCTTGGGGACCTTATGATAATGGGGGGGGGGGGGGGGGGGGGGTTTTAGGGGTCCCTTGTTTCGTGAACCCCCATATGCGGAGCCTTGCAAATCCTTGGCCAGGTTTGCAAGAAAAAGGTGGAGGCTGAACAAAGCACTGCTGGCGTGGCCCTGGCTGCGATCCGAAATGATCCGTTCCTTATGAGCCCGAGTCCCAGGGTTTAGGGTTTAGGGTTTAGGGCAGAAGCTGCTTCATGTCTGGAAGCCTTTGGCTCGGCCCACTGGAAGCCTACCATAGGGGCCTAACTTAGAACAGGGTTTTGGGGGAGTTTTTATAGTCTAATTACCATAAGGGAATAACAAGAGTCATTACTCCGATCCCCATGCTAAGGTTTTGCCGCAGCAGCCTGGACACAATGTGTCGGTAAGAGTCGTAAACCTTGGTTGTTGCTTTGCTTAAGCTGGTATTGCACCGACGAAGGAAGCAACCTACAGAAAAGGTAGGTTCTGGGTTCTTAACGATAATGCTACTGCGCAATCTTCTTTACAGGGCCTCAGACTCAGATGATCCAATGGTTCACCTGTTGCTGTTTCTGACACCCCCACACCCACCAGAACCTCACAGAACTCAATGCCCCCTACTTCTTTACTAAGGAATCAAGCAAACCTTTGGGCTCTCCGTGCATCCGGCCGAGGCAAGCTCAACGAGCCGCCCAAGGCAAAGATAATCGGACAGCGCCCTGGCAAGGGCCGCGGCAAGGTCTTGAACTCAGCTTACTTGGGAGGTTCAGGGTTTAGGTTTTAGAGAATTTGGGAGGAAAATCAGTGTATCCCAGTTATTGTGGCCTAGCTTGCGGGGGCACTGCTCTTTTTCGGGGTGTGGCCTTCCAGTTGCGGAAGGACATGAACCGGGTCATTCAGGGTATCCCTACATGAGCAGCGTTTTTTTTTCTAGGAGCAAGGCTACGTAGAGACGCGATCATTCAAAGCCGGCCGCGTAGCATTTTGCCTGCAGGGCGTAGGTCTGCGTAGGGTCCGCGTAGGCAAGTCTATGCAGCATGGGCGCGTAGGTCCGCGTAGTAGGTTGTCTATGCTTGCCGCGTAGGTCCGCGTAGGCACGCGTCAACAACACACTCCGTGCGTAGGCCGCGCGCCTACTAAACATGAGCTGACGCGTAGGCCCGCGTAGGATACCCATGCCATTACAACACCCCACACAAATATAAAAAAAAACGCTCACATGATGCATGCTGTAGTTCTTCCATTGTCTCTGACGCGTGCTCAACCCGTTCGGGCATGTTGGAGTCAATCTTTCATCGAAAAGATTTTGCGACTTAGAAACAGGAGCCTACATCCCGGTAGCTGCGATTTGCATTTATGACCGTGCCTTCGGTCCTAGTCCCCTTTTCTGAGACAACCTGTGCACGCTGGCCTCAGCTTCGATGGTGCAGAGCATGCCGGTGCTCTTTTGCCACTCAAGATCCCCTGGATACGCTGACAGCACAGCATGACGCACGGCAGCTTGCTGGTCGTCAACATGGGGGGGGGGGGGGGGGGGGGGGGGCACTTCTTTCGCAAAGGACAGAAACCTGCAAGAGTTCGATCGTTAAGCCCTGGTCAAGCTGTTCCCGAGTATTGAGAAAGAGAAAGAAAGACTCCACTGCATAACTTCGGAGACCGTCTGGGCACCCCTCGAAGATGCACGCTTTTGCTTGGTTTGGGGCTTATCGCAGGGCCTCGTGCAGGGCCAGGGCTGCTGCAGATGCGTTTGTCCGGTGCCATAGGCATGAGACTTCTGCTAGCTACTTCATGTGCGTACTATCTATGAATCTATGAACTTGGCAGAAGACATGAGGCTTTGGCCACTGAACGATTTGAAACTGTTTCCCGACCTGCGAGCAAAAAGTAACCAAAAGCAAGCTGCACCCCTTGACGTCTTCCTCAGACACTGGCCTGCCGCACCACAAACATCGATGAGCACACCAAAAAGGCGTAATTACACAAAACGCTTACCCAATGCATAACAAGCTTCCCCACGCATGAGGCGCCCAATGTGCCACCGCCTATGACCGTGCTGCAGCCCACGTCGCAGGCTTTGGTGACTCCGGGCAAGTTCGGAAACCGAGTGGCATTGACATGTGCATGACACACAGACTGCAGGCAAACCAAGGGGCTTACTAGTGGCACGAACGTCGATACTGATCCATGCTCACCCTTTACAGATTAAGTGGGGGGCTGCAGGGCATGCATGCCGAAACCTTCTGTCGGAGGGGCCGAGGTTCATGATTTCTCTTGTCCAGTTCATGAAGTGCATCTCCTTTGTGCGCCCTTGTCTTGGATGCAGGGCTTCAGCTACCCTCCGCATCTCCAGGCGCCCGAAGGGGCTTGCAACATGTCGAAGTCAGGGCGGGAATTCGGAGCCCCGCTCCGAGGATTTGAAGCCCAGAAACCACAGGCATGCATTCAAGAACCCTGAAGTCCTCAACCACTGGAGCCCAAACCCACATACAGATGCGCGGAGGCACTCGCAATGCCGGGCATTCCGCAGACGGGATTTTGGGGGTGAGGCTGCCCCAAGCAAGGCCTGCGAGTGCGCCTCTTTGCGGTCGTAGTTTCAACACTGTGCTTGTCTGGCTCGTTCTTCGTAGGTAATGAGGGAACGAGGTACCCTATAAAGCCCTTAAAGGGTATGTTGGGTATACACAGGGCCCTTTTAATTCCCTCACTCCCTACTAAGAACCAGGGGTTGTCGACTGTGGCGTTCTTGTGTACATGATGCAGAATAGTGAATGCCACCAATCAACCGAAGTTTGCCATTGATTTGGTGTGATGTCTCCGAGAAGAAAGGTACACACAGGATCGCGTCGGCTCCGAAATAAATAAGCGGGCCAATATCGCGCACGTACTTTTCCTGTGGCATACTGTGCGTGTTAATGGCCTTGCATGCTGCGCGCCAATTGGACATACGTATAATTCCTATGTGCCCTGTTCCAAACAACATTAGGAGTGGCAACAGCCCTGCAGGTTTTTGTTCGGCAAGTGGCCGCATGATTGTCCGACTGCCTACATGCCATGTGCCAGGCACACAAGCTGGTCAGAACATGAGCTTGCAAATCTGAGCGCTCCTTAGCACTAGGTAGGCCCTTGGGGTATTAACATTACTCTGAATTTTTGTCAGAGGGTTTATCAGCCAACAACCTCCTGGCCAACCTAGACACGGACCTCTTAGGTCGAGGTGTGCACACGGCACACCCCTTTGACCTTGTCCAGAGAGCTCAATACCTCTTAGTTGAGGGCGTGCCGCTACATCACTGTTACATCGCGGTTCATATCTGAATCAAGGTAAATTCTTTCATTCAGCTCGAGGTATCGGGCTCTTTGGGTACTTTGTTCTTGCGGAGCGCGTGTGAAGATGGGGGTGGCATGGCGTGGCGACAAGACTTCCTAAGTGTACTTGGTGCTGGGTCTCCGGATGTTGGATGAATATTTATGTGAGCCAGATTCGATCTGCAGAGAAGTACCTGGCTCCTGCCGTCAGCATGCGATTGCGTCTAGGTCATCGATCCCAGCACCCCTCATATTACGGCATAGTAAATCCCGTACGTAAAACTAACTGACTATCAGGCTGCGCATGTTATTCAAGCAGACAGCTGACAAGGCTGAAGTACCGGCGGGACCAGGCGAACGGCTTTAAGAACAGCAAATCGCTAACTTGAATTTGGGGACATCTCTGCGACTTCTGGCCCGAAGCTTCTCAAGGGTCGAGGCACTGCCGACCCCTCCTCCTGCGCCGCGGGGACTTGGCTCATGCGGCCTGGGGCGCTTTTCATCTGAATCTTGGTCTGCACAGTTCTGCGTATTCTTGAATAACGGTTCACGCTGCGTTTAGGGTTTAGGGTTTAGGGTTTAGAGTTTAGGGTTTAGGGTTTAGGGTTCACGCTCGGGCGCGTTTCGGCCTAAACCGTCAAGCCGATCAGAGTGGCCACGGAAGCCGGCAAAAAAGGGTTGATGGGGATTCATTGGTTCATGTGGAGGTCAAAGGGAGTGCATGGAGACTTCGATGTCGGACGGGTGGGGGACATAAACTATAGGGCTGTGAGGGGCTACTAAAAGGTCTTAGGAGGGGTCCATAGGGGTCGATATGGGGGTGCGCGCTTGCGGTCCGGAATTGGAGGGCCCATGAAAAGGCCAATATCTTGAGGACATGTAGGTTGAGAGGGGTTCGTATAGGGGTGCTGGGAACGAGGGAGTCATGGGTCGGCCCAACGACCCCAACCATTGGGCTTTCTTGTTTTTTGCTGGTCCGTGCGCAGGCTCAGGAGCTAGCCACTCTTGCGGGCTTCGCTGGTTGTTTTGGCACGGATGGAACAAGCTAACAAGTACAGCACCAGAGATTGCCCCATGAGCGCCATGAACCTAAATGCCACCCCAGGAGAGCGAATTCTAAGCAAAATTCAGCGACGACATTGGTGTGGAGGCACCTGAGGCTGAGACGCAAAAAGCACTGGTTTCCAGGGTGCCGGATGATGCACCTACCGACCACGAAGCACCCTAAAGTTGCGGATAGCTTCTTTACTGCTTCTTTGCTGTTGCTTCGCTTTGCTGAGTGTCTTGGAGGGCTTCAAGCCACTGGCCACCTTTTTTTCCATTTAGAATCGAGAGAGAGTTGTGATAAACGCATTCTTCATGACCTGTTGTTTCGAGGGTTTTGCACAAGTTGATGGCTGGCAGAGCCCGGTATGGGCATGTTGCGCAGTAACTCTGTCGTCAAGGCGTAGGTACCAGCATGCACGTTCCATAATGTTGTGGATTGTTCTGGTGTTCTCAGTTGATTCAGCTGCAGGTGTTCGGAATGGCCTAAGCGCCTTCTCGAGCTTATCAGTGCACTCCACACCCATGCAGTCTTGGATGCCGAGGAATCCCCGACCAAAAACCTATGTCTGATGGGTTCGTGACCGTGGGCCAGTGCATCGAGGGCCTTCCTATTGGTGTTTTCGTTTCCTTGCCTGCAGGTAAGGTCTGTGCCCTTCAGCTTTCGCCCAAAGCACGGAAGCCATAACCCCAATCCCCACCCCATTCCCCCAACTTGAATGCGGAGAGCTACTCACAACTCATTCAACCCCATACTTCCAGTAACCAGGCACTTCGATTGTTCTCTGCGAGTCGCAAGCGCCGCTCACAAAGAAGACTTCAGAGCTCGGCTCAGGTTTGGGAGTTACTGCTCTGCGCCTTCCTGGCATCATTTTGGCTGGGTGCGCTCAATGAGCCCGGGGCCTGGATTTGCCTGGTTGTAGGCCCATGTGATTAAACCTTGAGACGGATCCCAAAGCCCTATAAAGTCTGCAAGGTAGAGTTTTTTGGTGGCTGAGTAGCTGAGATGTGGAGTTTAGGGCTCAAGATTCAATCATATTTCAGCGAGTGCAGGAGTCGGATACCGTGACGCCAGTCGCTTCAGGCCTCTTGTGGAATCAGGGCATGTGTCCACGCGCCGACGCCGGCTGAGGCCTACGCCCTTTGCACTTGGTCTGCTGAACACTGCCTCTTGGCCCAGATGCTTCCTAGCGGGCTTGCTTTGAGCTTGAAGTTTCTTTTTTTGGACAGCAGAAGTTCAGCCGCCTGCGAAAGGCATGAGCTGAACTTCCGATGTGGCAAAACATGCTTCGTAGCTCTGTGTTGGCCAAGGATTGGGCCTACAATGAGCTCAACGTGCAGGCAGTATTGGCAGCGATGGGCGTGGGCAACGCCATCTCTCTTCTCCTGGCTGGATGGTTTTCAGTGGCGTGGCCGAGTTTCCCCAGTGCTCCGCATAGGAAACAGCCCGAACCTCTGAGTCCCCACGTGCGATGATGCGCCTGAGGACAAGAGTGGCCGGGCCCACGTGATCCGCTGCCTCATTCTGGCGACTGTGAGCTGTGGGTTCTTGGTACAGTCATCCAGGCTGCCGTGGTCGGGGCGGCTCAACTCTGTTAAACGTCAAGGCTTTATCCGTCTTCGACCACACTGCCCCATAATTGAGGAACATTGCCTCAGAATATAGAACACGGAACCTGTTGGTTTAAACTACTTTTCTTGGGGAGGTCGGGCTCTTTGGAGACCCCCTGGAGGACCTTGGGGCAGACGCTTTGCGCGCGGTTTCTTCTAGGCCGGGGGCCTTTCAAACTCCCAAAACCTCAGCGGCAGCTCTCGGCCGAGCTACAGTGTGGGCGCATGTTAGGGTTTTGGGATTGGGTTTAGGGTTTGGGGTTTGGGGTTTAGGGCTCAGGGTTTAGGGTTTAGGGTTTGCATGCTTGTGGCTGGCATGTGAGGATGCTCAGTCCTATAAGTTTAAAACTCTTGGTGATTACTTCGGCTTCTGTGTGAGAAGCTAACGGCGCATCGCAAAAGGCCAAGGAGAGAGAGGGAGAGGGAAAGGGCCCCTGCTGGGGGCCCTCCAAACCACGCTCAGCGCAGGGGGGGCATGCCAGCCCCCTTTCCTCAACCACTGCTAGGCTACGCTCCCCCAGCAAAAAGAGAGGCAGAGCAGAGGGTGGTCCGGGTCCTGGAAGCACATCTTCCTTAGAGATGTAAGCAATGCCGGGGGTGGGAAGAAAGGAGTCTCAAGACGACGCAGTCGGCTGTAATTAATCGACAACGTGTCTTCACGACAGATGTTGCCCACCCCCCTCTCCGCCTCTCACATGGAACTCACTACGACTGCACGGCCAACGCCCTAAACCCTTGAGCATTATACTTGTCTAACTCACTCGTAGTTGTAGAGAATTTAGGAAATGTGATGCCCAAAGTAATCCGCAAATAAGGGTAGTATAAGGAGCGACTCACACGTTTAGGAGAGCTCTTGGTATCTCAGGCTTCAGGTTAGGGTTTAGGGTTTCCGGTTTAGGGCGTATAGGGTTTTAGGGGTTTTTAGGGTTTAGGGTTTAGAAGGAGGGGGGAAGGTGGGCGGCGGGGGCGAGGAGGAGGGGAACTGTACAAGTGCCACCAACACTCATGAGCTGTCTCCATGGGAGTTCTGGCTTAGATTCACATGGGCGTCCGGGGGCATTGCAGCGGGAAGGGCCCACAAGTGGGCTCGTAGGGGTTTTCTGATTGTGCTTCCTGGCACGGTCAGCACACGAGATTTCAGTTCTCAGAATGAGAGGGACGACAGGATGCGAAACAGGGGGTCGCCATGGGACACAACCCGAATGCATTGTAGCGGTAGGAAAAATATATAAATATGTGTAATATGTGTTTAAAAAAATCTATGGAGAGAGAGAGAGAGAGTGTGTGTGTGTTAAGGCTGAGGCTACAAGATATACTGGGGTCTCTGGGCTTGGTACAGCAGCTCGTGATGCCCAGGGGTGCCTTCAATCCTGCTGTACAGGAGTGAGGATGGGTCAAACCCCAAACCCTAAACCTTCGCGCCGTAAAGACTCCACAGGTCTCACCTCAGGTGGGCTGCTGGCAGCCTCTTGGTCTAAAAGCAAAGAGCCCCTCACGTTTCGTAGGCTACCAAAGAAGCCTGCAAGGTTTTTTGGGGAAAAAAACTTGGCTTTTGGTCTTAAGTTAGGGCCCGTTATTGGGAGGTAGTTGAGATGAGGTCGGTGTCGTTAGTTCTGCGGCCATGTGGCCGCCGCAGGAACGAATCGTGAACTTTGAAAGTGCAGTTGCCGCGAGAAAGTGCTGTTCGCTGAGTATTAGTGGGAAGATGCTTCAGAAGTCCCTCGCACTTGCCGAGGCCATGATCCCACTGGTTGCCGAGCTATTACCCGCACGGCAGCGCGGATTCTACCTGACGGTATGGTGTTGTGGGAGGCGCGGGCAACTCGGGAACACAGAAGCGCCCACGTTCCCGGGTCCTGATCATATGGATCTTCGCGCCGACCCGCCCTTAGCAGCAATCAAGGATCTCAAGACCCTGGCAACAGCGACTATAAGCGTAACTGATTATAGCCTTATTTAGGGTACTTATATCCCTACTTCTAATGACCCCTGAACCTCTGTCTAAGTACAAAAGAACGCCTTTTTCAGGCCTGCTGGGGCATTGCTGGCCGTCCTTCTCAGCTGCCTTCTGCCACGACTGGATTGGACCAGCCGCCTAGAAGAAGCTGGTTAGAAGAAGCTGGATGGCTGAGATGGTAGGTTCAGGGTAGGGGTTGCAGGCTTGTGAGAATTCAGTGGCTCTTTTTGACGGAGGGGCCTGAAGAGAGGACACGCAAGGAGTGTTGAGATGTGGCAAGTGCTGCAGAAGAATTCTGAACATGCGGGGTTTTGCTCTTCGAACGGTTGAGCCGCGTTTGTCTCTTGTACAGATTCTTTGTTTTGTCTACCACCCTTGCTTTGTTTGTGGCAACAGTGGAAACACAGCAAGCGAGCAGGCAAGCTAAGCCAAGTAAGCAAGCAGACAGCGAGTCGCCCCAGCACTGGCTGCCCGAGAGTCGGCCGCGCAAGTGGGAGAAATTCCCAAAAAACGCAAGCCGAAGTAAGCGATTTGCTGAAGTCCCGCTTTCTCAAGGGTCGTAGCTGCGAGCTAGGTTTCATGAGGCGGTCATGGGGTGGGTGGTGGGGTGTTGATTGGCGTTTGGCTGTGAGGGTTTCGGGCGCTCACCACTGTGGGTGGTGACTTTTGGCTTTGCTCTTGGCCTTCAGCAGTGCCTAGACGGCCGACACCCCCTGCTGCCAAGGGTCCCCCTTGAAGAAAGACATGCTACAAAAGACGCCTAGCTTACTTACGGACGTCGCGCAATTCTCTGCAGATTTCGTGTTCATGATGACCGCGCCGGCCGTGGTGGTGTATGTCCTTTGCCGGCTGGATGCAGCTTGGCCTGCCTCCGGGTTCATATCCACGCAGCAAATGGGCTTCGTAAAGCTTGCAAGCATCTCTAAGCCAAGCCTCCAAGCTTCAGGGGGGGGAGGTTAGGGGTGCCAACCCTCAACCCTAAACCCGAAACCCTAAACCCTAAACCCTTTAGTTGCCTGCTTCAGCGAGCGCGAGCGTCGAAACCCTTTCGTTGCACCCTCTTGAGGTCATGCCAGAGTCCCCTCGATACCTCTACCTGGCTGGCCGGCGTGAGGAAGGCCAGGGTTTAGGGTTTAGGGTTTGGGGTTGAGTTATTTCGGGTTAGGGGTTTAGGGGTTTTACCCCTCAGAGGTTCCGACAAACCCGTCCCGTGATGTGTTCCTCGTCTTGTGGTTCTAATCCATGCAGTTGGGATTGAAAGCTCCTATGCTTCGAAGCCCTGAAACACTGAACGCCTACAAGTGACTAAACGTGAGCATGCTTTCTCATCGACGCAGCAGCACGCCAGTTTTCCCTCGGCATGCTTGGCAGTGGCCTCCTTTGGCACAGCTGGCTCCCTGAGACCTGTCTCGACCGCCCTCCTGGTCAGTCCTACTTGCCAGTCTCTGTGGGCCTTGCGTCGGGCTGGGGACGTTAAAGTCCCCCTACTGAGGAAGCCTCCGTCTGACACATGCTTGGGCGAAAGTTTGGCCGGACACAAGAGATGCAACATGCGGAAGATTGATGGGTTTAGGCTTAGGGCTAACTTGAAACCCGGAACACTTGAAACCTAGACCGGCCAACCAACTTCAACTTGAAACCTGGATCCACCCATAGGATATAGGGCTTCAGGGACTGAACCTGTGCATTCAATGCGAATGAGACTTGATCCCGGACCCTACATAGACCTAAATGGTTGTGCTTTTTGTAGCTGTTTCTATGTGTAGAAAAGCCGACGATGAACGAAGCGTGGGACTTTGGCGAATACATCCCGAGCAGGCTTCGTGACGCTGGCAGAAATGTACGACAAGGTACGTTTCGCACATGGCCTTGGCCTTGACGTGTTGGTATAGCGCCGTGCTAGTTTGCCGTCCCTTTTCTCTTTCTCTCTCCCGTAATTAAGCGAGTTTTGTTGCAAGAGCCTGTGCTTGTGAGCGTGACTGGAGAGAACTGAGCACGAGCCTGCTGAAGGGATGCTTGGGGGTTCTTTGAGCGCTTTCCTTTGTGCAGCTCTTTGACAGGAGATGATGTGCCTTCCTTGGGGGCCGGACTCGGTTTCTTTGACGACATCCTCTGAGGTCAAGGAGGGTCTCCAGTTGGCAGTTTTGGGATGTTGGGGCATACGCAAATCCTCGCAGCTGCTGCCAAAGGGTCGGCGGTTGAGGTCAAGAAGTCCAACGGTCAAGAACAGCCACGCTTCCTGAAGTCACCAGCACCTTTTCAGCCTTCCAACCTTTAGCGTCGAAACACAGCAAGCAGACTGTAAGCCAGCCCTGACTTCCAGATGCTGTCCAGGAGGTCAAGTCCGGTCTTCGATCCCTGGCGCATTCCGACGCAGCGATTACGGCCGCCTGGCCGTGTGTCGTCGGGGGGTTCTGGCTGTTGGTTCTTGGGTGACGCTGTCGTCGGTGGCGGCGTGGTTGTAGCATTGTTGATGCTGCTAATGTTGTGGTCGTGGTGCATGTGGTGGGTGTGGTGGTGGCCGCCGTTGCGGTTGTGGAGGCAGCGGCTATATCGGCGTTGTTGGTATTGTCGCGCGTCGTACTGTTGTACTTCTTTAGCTTTGTACTGGTACACATGTACTTGTGCCATCGCAAGAAGAGACGCCAGCGCAGCGCCACAGCACGCGCACGGAAGCATAGCCTTTGGAGCTCCGAGCTTGAAGCTTCCTTGTCTACTTGAGTGATCTTGCGTTGCTCAGACACTTCGCAGTTAGAAGTTGGTAGAGTGCGGGGCTCATGCAGCCCCAGATCAAAGCGTGGTGCCGCCCACACTGTGGTTCTCAACTCCTCCCACCCAAGCCTGTGCATGAGCCCAAGACCCATACCTGCATAGCTTGCACATGCCGATGCCCTGAACCCTAAACCCTCAACCCTAAAACCCTAAACCCTCAAACCCTAAACTACCATGGCCCTTCTTTGCCCTAAGGCTTGGCTTTGCCTGGTCGTGTTCTTCAGCCATTGCGCTTCACAGTGCATGCGGGCCACCCTTCATGATCTTCAGGGGTTTCAGTGAAAAGGGTTTAGGGCCAGGGTTTCGTGAGAGTAATGCTGATGGTCTCCCTAGGAGGTTTTCTTGGGAAGGCCTGCAGATACAGCTAATGTGGTATCCTGACTAGTGTGAGGCCCCCCCCCCCCCCCCAAACTAAATCCACCCCCGTAATAGTGTCAAAAAAAGGGACCCCCCCAAACTAATTTTCGGCCCCGGGCCCCCCACCGGCTCCTCTTCATTTCCTCTTCGCTCCTCTTCCCTCTCCTCTTCCTCTCCTCTTCCTTTCCCTCTCCTCTTACATAATTAAGCTCAGGTAAGCTCAGGTAAGCTCAGATGAGCTCAGCTCAGGTAAGCTCAGGAAAGCTCAGGTAAGCTCAGAAATTAAAGCTAAAGGTAAGAACTCCGACTTGAAGCTGCTCTTCTTTTGCTCTTATCTTTCATCATCTTGTTCTCTTTTTTCTCTCTTCCGAAACCCATGCCCGAAAAACTTTACTTTATTGTGGGGGGGCAATCGAATTTTTGTCTCCTGAATAATTTTTGGAAAACTTTTCATTATTGAGGGGGTCCAGACTAATCAGGATACGACATTATAGGCTGGTGCACGCAACGAGCAGCTCTGACATGTTACTCACTATTTCTTGCCGGCAAAGAAGAGGAGTTCAACACGAGCTGCCCCGAAAGCTGAGCCCAACTGTGTAGCATTGCGCACTCGCAGGCCTGGATACCCACGATCCTGGCAACTGGCTCGCCGCACCAGTCTCCGGTGATGCTGCTGGCACTGTCCTTGCTGCAGGCAATATGGGGCTTACGAAACTAAGGGGCCTGTAATGACAGTGCCTCAGCTGCTCAGATACAGAGACAGCGCCGTGTAATGTAGACCCCCGAAGACTAGGATTCCCTTCCCTTTATGGAGTCTAAAAGGCGTATGAGCTTTCTTGTGCCGATGCAGCCCCAGCCTTTGCGCAGCTTTCAAAAGCTGGGTGCCTCCAGCTCAAAGCCATTGTGGGGTGTAGTCTTACAGCCCACTTGTCCCTAAAGCCCTATAAACCCCAAGCACATTTAGAAGAGATCTATCTGCCTATGCCTACGACAGGCAGTCAACAAAATCTCGAGCCCTAAGTGGGCCCTAAGCTCCAAATCCGAAACCTCTTCCAAAGTTGACAGTCACGTGTCTTGTTCCCTACAGCGCGACTACTGGTCAGCTAGGCGGATGGTAACAAACATCCGAAACCCGAGCCATACAGAGACGAGCGCTCCCCGTCCTGCAGCAAGGCGTAGGCGTAGACCTCGGCTCCCACAAATGACTTGCTTATGGGTTGGGGGCAATTGACTAAATATATAGACCACAGACCCGGCAACTGCCGGGGCCGGTTTTTGTTTCTGAGATTTGTGGGGGGGGAGGGGGGGGGGGGGTGGGCAGCTGTGACCGCGACACAGGTAAGTCCGAAACTTGGTAGCCCCGTTGGTCTAGGGCACCCAGAAGATGTGAGGTTTCCCGGGCCCCTATAGCACCTTCTTGTGAGCAGTTCCAGGGCTGGCACCTGGCACATGTTGCAGGGATACCCTAAACCCTAAGCCCGAAACCCATATCGCAGGCAGAAGATCCCAAGCCACCAGCATCGGGCCTCTCTCTGCTCAGCGCGGGACCGAATCTGGATCGACACCTGGTGATGGTCGCAGCGCAGGGCTACATGCGCCTTGGCTTTGGTATCAAGGGGCTCCATAAGGGGCCGCTACTAGAGGTGCTAGTAGTAGAGTAGGTAGCCTTTAACCTTTTTGGCTAGTGTAATCGCCTCAGAATCCCCCGGGTTACTGGACAACTAGGAGGTTCATTCTCTCTGGTGGACAAGACAAGGCTGGAGGTCTGCGGCATCGTGCTATGTGCCGCCATCTCCTTTGTGGCCCGGCTTCGTAACAGTGCCACAGTGTGTGGTCGAGGCTTGGCAGGCCAGGATGTGGTTCAACCCGGCATCAGCAAGAGCCGGAGCGCCATCTGCGCGTCGGGAGGAGGACAGTCCCTCAAAAAAATAAAGTAAGAAAGAAAGTACGAAAGAAAGAAAGCAACAACAGAGACAGAGAGAGAGTTGGTACCGGTGTTGTGCTTGCGTGTTTCCGGGGGGATAGCTGGTCCATCAGCCTGCTTTTCATCCAAATCCGCATTGAGCACGTCAGAAGGACTGCCAAGCGAAAATGCAGGGGTTACTGTTGGGCGGCTAGTAGTGTGAAGATCGGGGGCAAACCCTATCATGCCGCCCAAAAACTCTGACATTGGCTAGCAAGTAGCTGCCTTGCTCCGCATAAAAGGCGTCGGGTCCTTAGTGGGGGCTTTGTAGAAGTTGTAGTCATGGGCCCGGAGGGGGGTTCGAAAAAGGAGAGCGGCAACACACTGAATAGAGAGACAGTTGAAGTCTTGGCCTCCCTCCCTCGTGGGTCCGCGGTACGGGTAGCTGCGGTGTCTGGGGGGAGCCTTGGGGGAAGGCGAATCTCCATGCCCCCACCTGAGCACCCATCATTTCCTGAGATAGGAAAGCTGGGTAGGGGGGGGGAACACCAAAGCATCCCTCAGTGGTAGTCTGCCTCCTGCCCGGACTTCCTACCAGGATGCACAGCTCGGCGAGGACTCTGAAGCTAGAGGTCCTTTCTAAACCTTCCTTTGACATCCTGAACTGTAGCGGGCACCGCCACCAACACTAGCAACACTCCACTCGAAACGTTCTCGAAAGCTCTGCACAGCCTTGAGGCTCTAACACGGCGGCTCCTCGTGCGGGGCGCCCTCTTCGCAGCGGCTGTGCTCGCCGTCGGGGCGACGCTAGCAGAGCGCCGAAACATGCGGCTCGGTTGGCGAGGCGTTGTGTCGTGCGTGGATCATACAGGTGCCCAAATGGCCCAAATATTTACCAGCATCATCCATCGTTTTTCCCAATGCATTTTCAAGTTAACTTGTCCTGACTTCAAGGATATAAAAACTTAGTGCCATTTATGGGTACTTTCTGAGGCTCAGAAAACTCAAAATCAAGATGTCAGATGCTCAGGTGGCTGACTGCTGGACCCTTGTTTGGGTTGGCACTCATTGCCAATTCCGCGGTATCGAACTTTCTGCTTGCTCGGGCCCCAGCCAAAGTTGGAGTGTGCTGAAATCGGCGTGAGATGGCGTGAGTATCACCAATGTCTGTATGATGTCCATGGGGTTGGCTTGAATCCTAAAGCCTTAAGCCCTAACTCCCCCGAACCCCTCACAACACAAGAACATGAATAAGCCCACCTCCTTAGCCCGTACCTCTTAAGCCTCCGTAAGCATGCCCCTGTGTGATTTTTTGGGGGGCCCAGGACAGCTTTTCGGAGGTGCTTGCTTGCTTGCGTCCCTGGCTGCTCTCCGAGGTGTTTGCTTGCGAACGATTCCCCACATCTTCGAGGCGCCAGCCTGTGTTCTCGAAAAAGGGGATTCTGCGCTTGCTTGTGCTCTATGAGGTTTCTCAGCGGCTGTGTTGCCGCCACAGTGGTACAAGGTCTGTGTCTTGCTTCGGGGAGGGCAGGAGAAGGAGAAGCCTCATTCTTGCGACAGACTGTAAGATCCTTCTGTATCCACGTTACCTTCAAGCACTGTGTCAGCTTTCGCAATGTTTCAGTCATACTTGGCAAGCGTGTGTGTGGCCTTTGAACAAGCTTACAACACCTCAGCACAGCAGATGGTAGCAGGGGCAGCTGCAATCGTCCTCAACACTGCCACAAAGTACTTGTAAGGGTCTCCTTTTCAAATTCGGTTAGTGCCTCGCTGGAGAATCATCTCCATTGTTGCTGTGCGAGCTGGCTGTGGCGCTGTAGTCGGTCGATCACAATAGTTGCATAATACTTTGTGCGGCTGCATCCAGTGGTGACACGGGTGTGTGCCCTTCAGGGTCCCAGAAGATTGCCCAGACAGATGCAGCAACCAACAATCAGGCAGCTGATCGGGTACCCCCCCCCCCCCCCCCCCCCCAAAAAAAAAAACATACGAAACAGTAGTCGACAGCCCCTGAGGTAGAGGGTGCAGCCCCCATGTTCGAATTCTACTCCCCAAGTCCAAGTGCTTTATCCTACAACTGTTCCTCAGGGCCAGCGCAGTTGGGCTTGTCCTCTTTTTCGGCCAGGCCTGGTTGGCCCTACGTCAGCTCTTGGGGTTTAAGGTCGGGTTTAAGGTTGAACTAGACAAGGTCAAGTATTGGCCCATGGATTCGGGCGACACATTGAACACGTCGCGCTGCTTTGGACTTTGGCCATGGGGAGCGTGAGGTTGTATGGGCGTAGACTCTCCACTTGCGCGAGCGTGAGCGTCGAGACCCTGCGCCCGGATAGGTTGCTGAGCTGTTCGCACCAGCCATGGGCGTGATCATGCTGACGCTTGGCTTAGAACATCGGGGCCTGCCTGGGAGCTTTTTGGGGCTTGACAAGGTCAAGTTGCAAGACTGCGGAGGGTTGCGTGAGACTTCGTCACCTCACTGACCCAGCCCAGTCATGTCTCATGTTATGAGCACCTGACAACCGAACCCTGGCGCTGTTCAAAACCAATGTAAAGATCCCGAACCCACGTTCTGGGAGCAAAAGCCACCGTACACTTTTCATCGGTTTCCCCTTGTCCTGCTCTTCGTCAGCGTGTTGAAGCGGACCCTTGCCGTGTGACGGTGCAAGGAACCGCTTCTCCGTGCAGTCGGCCGTGCTTGCTTTCAACAGCCTGCAACAAGGACTTGTTTGGCACAGCGTGCGCTGTTTTGGGGTCTTTAAGGGCCATCACCTGCTTGAATAGTACATGAAGCTGCGCTCGCTTGGGTACCCCGGAGAAAGGGCGCCTGGGCAGGCACCGTTTGCGGAATGTGTCCCGTAGAGAACATCAGCACCAGCGCTTAGGTACTTTGTGGCGTTCCTCATTTCGTTCCAGCTGCCCCTTCCTGGGCATCATGAGAAGACTCTCCATGACATCGAGGCTTAGCGGCCCGGTGTAGCCATGGACACGGAAAGGAGGGTCTGCAGCGTTGGCAGGGTTCTTTGCTCGGCTTTCGATTGGGTTTGGACGAGCATGTGCATGTTGATAGGTTCTTGCAAAGTTCCCACAGCTGTTCCTCGGCAACACGTAAAGCATCATGATTGCTGCAAATGGTGGCAAACTGGACGAAAACGATTGTCTCGCGAGCCACTTTGAGATGCCAGCTGTTGGATGGCGGTCACTCAAAAACCCCTTTTGCAGAGGTGCTTGGTAGGTGCTTGGTGCAGCGGCCCTCTATGTTTCCATGATTTTCCATGCATGTACACATTCCGACAGGCGAAGGGCTCTCGCGATCCGCTGACCAGGGGCCGAAAGCGCTTGGGTATGTCCTACCAGACCGTCTGATTTGGCGAGCATTTGGCGAGTGCAGTCGTTTCGTCACTTGTCTCTTGTCACCCTCCTTTTCTTTTGCCATGGAGCCTCACTACATGAACGTCCAGCCAAAAATGAGTTTGGGATGATGTCTTTTGGTCGACCAGCTCATTCTACTATCATCGCTCTTGAAAGCCCCGAGATGTAAAAGCCAGAGGCATGCTGGATGTAGCACAGTCACGCGGATCAAGGAAAACAGTGCGTGTCGATTCGGCTGGCACAGCAGACTTCAGAACAGTCTCCTCCCCAACTCATGCTTAGAGGGTTGACATTTCGAGATGCCCGTTTCTTCCATACCAGGGGGGCCCACCATAGCTGGTGGGCCTCTTCGCTGTGTGGACAATTTTGTCTTCATTAGTCAGGTGTTCGGAATCAGGTGTTCCCAACATAGGGGCACGACGCAGGCTATATTTACTACATAGTTCTGACATGGTACTTACAATGTGCTTGCATGTTGCCCACATTGTGCTTACCTGGTGCTTCTTTCATCATGCTTACATGGTGCGTAGTGCCTTTTGGTGCTTACATTGTGCTCAGGCGGTGCTTATTTGGTGCTTACATGGCTCTCACACTGCAGCACTTTCATGCTTTTCCCATGCAACACGCCTTGCATGTTCCTTCAGCGGCAGTTGCAAGTGAATCCCACATCGGCACCTTACACCAAGCAAGACCACATGAGTGTGCAGGTTTCTCTGCCCAGGACCCCAGCATATGTCGCACATCAGATGATATCAGATGACAACACTGTTCCAGCTTCCCTGCGCTTGGGAAAGCCTTCATATCTTTGTGACCCTCGATGGCGTGTTTCGGCTCAAGCGGCATTGGGGAGGGGGGGCTGCACGATACATGCTGAGCTTGAATTCCAGGCGTTCGCGGCCCCAACCATGGCGGAGCCAACAAGCAGCCTGGTGGAAAAGGCCAGCCTTGCGGGAGTGACGGGTGCTGGAGGGTTTGTAGAGTAGGGCGCAGCCCTGGACCCTACACACCCTCTAAAGCAAGCTGGCAAGGAAGTCGAAACATCTACAAATCAACAAAACCACAAACTGATCCCCAATCCCTTTGCCAACAACAACACTTCGCCGCGGAGCTTGAGATCCCTCGCAATTCTACTTTGGGCACCGAGGGCTTGAAGGCAGAACACCCCGAGGTTGCAGCGTCGCAGGGATAGCGATGAGAACTTCACGGCTTGAGTTGAACTCCCGTTCTGCGTTGGCGCATGCAAGCTCGGGCTAGTTGGCGTCCCAGGTGTTTTGTGATCAATTCCCCAAAAGTGGGGTACCCTGAATACAAGGACCCGTTGTGTCGTACTCGAAAGGGGGCCCTAATCTGGGGCTGCGTTTTCTGCAGCCTGCTGGTAGGTGACAGGTGCCAGCATTCACTCACCTGCTCCGGGAAACCCGTGCTAAACCCCTTGGATCCCAAAAGCTCCTAAACACTCTCTCTCTCTCTCTCTCTCTATAGATACATTTTTTTAATGGCTACTCAGGACACCCTAACTGTTTGTGGAAACCAGGACCCGCATTAAAGCCAAAGCTGCTACTGCTACTACTACTGCTAGTGCTACGACGACGGCGACGACGACGACCGACAACCGCGACGACCCGACGACCACGACGACCACTCCTACTCCTACTACTCCTACTACTCCTCCTACTCCTCCTACTCCTACTCCTACTCCTACTCCTACTCCTACTCCTACTCCTACTCCTCCTCCTCCTCCTCCTCCTCCTCCTCCTCCTCCTCCTCCTCCTCCTCCTCCTACTACTACTACTACTACTACTACTACTACTACTACTACTACTGCTTGTTGCATTTATCTCATCCCAATGAAATGTACATAAACTCCTGTTCAAAAAAACATGTAAATTGCCCGGACCGTTTAAAGAGGGCGAAAACCAGCTTCGACTGTGTCCGGGGGCCGGGGCAAACTAAAGTAGGTGCAGCATCATCCTGTACATATGTATAATTATATTTATATATATATATATATGCTGTACTACATATTCTACTATGTACTATATATATATATGTCTCATACCATATCTTATACTATATATTATACTAACGTGTCGAGGTCAAGGTCAAGATCATGGGCGTGGAGGTAGAGCGGGACGATGAGCCCCCTGGAGGAAACCACTGTTGACATGGTCCTCTGAGGCCGAGTGCTTGTGGCTTCTGGAGGATTTTAGGCTTTGTAGGGTTTAGAGCACGCGAATCTCCGAGCGCGAGAAAGAGAAAGAGAGAGGGTTTTTTAGTGGCTTCTGGAGGATGACAAGACTAATGCCGAACACGGGTCCGAAGAATAAGTCCCGCCACTCGAGCCAGAGCTTGCAGACATGCTTTGTGTTGTCAACCGGTGTCAACCATGGCAGTGGCACTTTTTGAGAATCATATGTTCGCCTCAGTCGTGATTCCGAGCTGCTTTGGATGAAGAACTGTGAAAGGGTTCTGTCCACATCGTGGCTCCCAGCTCGCGCATTTCTGCTGAGGGGGTGGCATTTCGTCATGGCCTTCCCGGTCCCGGTGGGATCTGCATGCACCCTGCCTAACAGTTCAGATTGAGACAGGCTTGCACAACGAGTCCGAAGTATACGGTTTAAGCCAGCGTAGACCCCAAACAGTGAGACACCATAAGGACACGCAAAAGCATTCCAATCGTCCAAAAGCAACGACAGAATCGCATGTGGCGATCCGTTTCGCATTTGGCGCACACACACACAGACGTCAACAGCGACGACCGTTTCGCATTCGGCGAGCACAGACGTCCAAAAGTTGACATCTCGCGGCCACGGACGTCCAAAAGCAACGATGGCTGCGCGTTTCGGGAACGCACAAGCAACAAAAAAGACTAGCAGTTTCGAGGATGGCGAACGCGGCCACGCCCCACGTCTGGGCGAGAGTGCCCTAAACCGACCAGGCTACGCGAAGAACCTTGCGGTCCCGCCGGCAGGCGCTCCGTACGCCGTCATTTATCTCCCTCTGCGGTGAACAGAAGATTCACGCACACGCCCAAGAATTAATGATCTTAAGTTCGCAAGCCGGATCTTGAAATTCAGTTCGCACCCCTCAAATCCACGAAGAAACTAAAAAACACAATAAAATAAGATGAACTAAGTGAATGAAACATCCAAATGTCTTTTCCGAGCTTGGGGAGTTTTCTTCGTTCGCGACTTTCTTGATTTTCATGCACTTACTGAGTTCACTTGTAATCTCGTGACATTTTCTCACTTCATGTAATGTGAAGAGCCTGTGATCTGGAGCTTTCCTTTAGTTTTACCAGGGGCTTGGAAATTGAACTGTTCGAGCTCAATAGAATGGAGTAACCGTGTAGACAAAGATTTCGAAATTGCAATATGAAGATGGTATTTAGAGTGCCCATATGAATATAAAGGTGGTAGGCCCCATCTTGAATATTCATGTTTCGTTCGGCTCTTAGTTTCTCATCAAAAGTGGCAATGTAATTCTATTCTATGAGACCTCGTGTGGCAAAATGCACTCATTTGCGTGTGTCATGACTGCACTAAAAGGCCCCAACGAACAAAGTGCTGTTAAGGGCTTCTAATATTGCGTGAGCAGAACATTGAGTGGAACCATAACGGGCACGAACTTAATATACATGGCATCTCCCGCACCCCACCCCACCCCTGGCTCCACTGGCACTCACTGGCACTCACAGATACAGGAGCCTGAGGCCCCCCCCATTCAATCTGAACGGAGCTGATTCAACCTGAATGGAATCCAAGATCCAAGATTCAGGCTTTAGGGTTCAGGCTCCTTGGATTCCAGGTCTTATCTCCTAGGCCTAGGCCCGATTCAGATTGATTGCTGTTGGTCGGATCTGGGTTGACCTCGGAAACGGGGGGGGGGGGGGAGGTTTAGGGTTTAGGGTTTAGGGTTTAGGGTTTAGGGTTTAGGGTTTAGGGTTTAGGGTTTAGGGTTTAGGGTTTAGGGTTTAGGGTTTATTTAGAGTTTAGGCTTAGGGTTTCTGTATGCTCACTTGCCGTAGCGGGGGGATTCGGGCTAAGGAAGCTTGCTTAGGGTTCCGGACCAGTAGGGCCCTACATGCCCAAAAGCATTCTCAGGCGATGACCCTGCGTCCCACTTCAACCAGACAATAGACAACTGCCATGAGACATGGAAGGCTCGCGACTGCTGGTTTACGGGGCTTGCGCACACCTTCTTGCTTGAACCCATGTCTCTTCGAGAAGGTCATGATGCCTATACACTCTAGACTCCCAACAACTGACTTATGCCGAATCACAGTGGACGACGATCTTTTGGACAGCCGGATTCCACTTTTACCCTTGACTCGCAGGAGATGTTCCGCGCCAGCGAAACGCCAGAGTTTCCCAACTCAATGCTGAAGAAGGCACGGCGTTGATCCAAATACTCAGGGGGAGATACACACGGATGGGGGTTTCCGAGAATAGGGGTACCCTTTTTGGGGGGTACCCTTGAAGGGGATTCGAATCTACTTATAGGGGTATGAAAGGGGTACCCCATCCCCAGATCTCTAAGTCATTGTCCATGTTGGGTGCCATGGGTGCTGAATTTCAAGCGCCGTATTTGAGCATGAACCTGAATCAACTAAATCCCAGCCACATTCAGCCCCACAAGTGTTAGGGCTCCAGCATTTAGCCATTTGTCTTGCGGGCGTGCAGGACTTTCAGGAGAAGGTGCGGCAGAAAGTCGTGACCATCTTAGAAGGCACGTAGCAGCTGCCCTGCTTTGGTGTGGGCTTAGGGCTACAGCTCTCCAGGCTTGGTTGTGGGGCTGTCCCAGTGTAGGGTTTAGGGTTCAGGGTCCTCGGTTCAGGAGACAGCAAACAGGGTCCTCTGTTCATGTGCTGTGGATTGAGATCCGCAGCTTCCATTCCCGGCCGACTGCCCAAGTCCAGATGCAAACGGGATTGGGGTTTGCGGTTTTGTACTATTATGGAGTGAAATCATGAAGCCCTATTCAGCATGGTTTCGAAGTGGCTGGAACCATAAGAATACTCCAAAGACAGCCTCTCAGCTAGCGTTTCGCGCTTGATGTTGTGTACCAAGTCTTGAGATGTCCTTGTAAGCTCTCATACGACCTGGGTCTACGACGGCCATGTAAGCTCATAGCAGTATTCTACCCTCATAGTTTGCGTTGCTCATGCGCCGGCTATGGGATGCATGTCTTAGAGTCTCTTTCCCTGTCGACCCTTGATCATTGCATAAACCCTGTGCGCTCATTGAGGACCGATGTTCGGGTGCCGCACGGAAATCATGCCTTCGGTGGATGGCGACGACGCTGGCAGGCATAGATTAGCCAGCGCTTCTTGCTGCGATCTCTAGTGTCTCTAGTGACGGTAGTGTCCTTTGACCCGGGTAATGCTATAGACTTGGGCTCAGGCGGCGGCTTACATGGCTTCACGTTCATGCCTTACATAACAGACCGGACCCAACCCAGACCCAACCCACGAGACATCGCCCAAGAAGGCTGACAGTAACTTCAACAGCAATTGCTGGCACATGCTGGCGCCCGCCTGTGACCAGCTTGCTGCAACAGTTTTCTGACTGCGGGTGGGGCATGCGCACAATCTAATGTTGACCCGGACAGACAGGTCCGATGAACCCTGCCACGCAGCTGAGGAGCTGTTCCTGAAGATCGGGGTATGCGACAACGACGACTTGGCAAAGATCGCAGAGAAGGTTGAGGCCGGAACCACCACCATGTCACGGCCAGTTCTCAATTGTGTACCAAGATCGTGTACTCGACTGGGCTGATATGCAACGCCCTGTCACACCCTTTCGGCTGGCTGCACAGATATATGTGTAGGTATAGATTACATATGTAGTCACGTATGTGTACATATATATTGGCTGTCTATACCCTTTCCTCACCCCACGGGCTGGGGCTGCGTGCGGCGCATCCGAATAATCGTTGCGCTTACGTCTTTTGAGATGTTGGCCCCTTGCGTGGATGGCCGAATGTCAAGTTCGTCAAGATGCCACCCGCAGCTACCATGTGGCAATCATGGCTTCCAGGGTAAGAACGAGAACCACAAGCCCCGCCAGATGCCTTTACGTAGCATAGACACGTAGCTTAAGACCCCTGAGGTCATAGTGAGAGGGAAAGTTATAATGAGGACCCCTCGAAACCTTGCGAAAACTCTAGACCCTAAATCTCATATCTCTAAGGTACCAGTCCTGGACCCTAACCCGAATGATAGGTCCTTGGCACTTGGGGTCCCTGAGAAGAAGCTTGGGAGCCTTGCAGGCACGTGCGCGGATCAAGCCAGAGGCTTACGAACAGGCCAAAGTTGCCTGCCCCACGTTGATGAAAGTTGGCAAGGACGGACGTGTGTAAGGATGAGGGTTTGACCCGAAGGCCCTAAACTAAAGCCTAAGGATGAGGGTCTGACCCTAAGACCCTAAACTCTACCCCAACAGTTTCGGGTTTCAGGTATGGTGGGATTCTGGGCACGACGTGAAGTTGATGTCGAGAGTCGCGGAAGAACCGATAATCCTGGTCTTGACTTTGGAGTGTGCTCCAACACCGGGGTCCGAGCAGTTCTGGCAACAACTAGGACCCCCAGTGGCCCCGGTTGCCTGAGACACTCCACTGTAAGCAGAAAACAGTGTCTAGCTTACTCCAAGACCTAGTCATGGACACTTGAGTCAGCTTGTTTTGCCTTGCTGCAAGAAGTTCTTTGCACGCAAGCTCAGCTCCAAGATGCTGGAGAGGAAAATGCGTCCCGGTGCGTACGCTTGAGGGAAGCTTTCCGTAGTATTCTCCGAAAAGTTTTATGATATTCCTGAAGCTCTCAAGAGCTATGAAGGCACCCTCAGTGCAAAGGGGGTGCACGTTTTCAGCCTTGCCAGCCTTGGGCACCTCAGAAAGGTCATTCAACTTCGGCATGTTTAAAAGCGTCTTATGCATGTGACTTGAGGGTGGTGAACTTGGGTTTCTGTTCGCAGAAGGGGCGAAGCTTTCGAAGAAGCCTTGGGGGCCGTGAGCTTCCTGTTGTGGAGGTTGAGCTAAGCTAAGCCATCTTTAGGGTACGCACCAAGAAGGCAGGTCGCATTCTTTGGGTCAACCTCCCCATGCGGCACTGATCCACGCAGCCAGCCTGGAGCCCCCTGAAAAAGGACTTCCACATCCACGAGCATCATCACTTGGACCTGGATGGGAGACACCTTGACAACACGTGCCCTGCACATGTGGCTCGGCTGGATGTCCACGCTTCTTTTCATGCGGTGAGAACTAGAAGCTGCAATGAGACTTGGATGCAGAGATTAGACTGCTCGGCTACCGGGCGGGGGCGGGGGGGAACATTTAGCCAGCACCTAGCGCCGACTCCGAGACTAAGGTGACTTTCCGCATCCCTCTTCGCGACAAACTCGAGGCGAGTTGTGGATCCGGGTTCTTGGGTTTAGGGCTTTGAACGGGGATTGCTGCAGCGGATTGGTGTATATGATTTCAGTAGCGTTCGCTTTCGGAGTTGATTCCCTTGGCTGGGGACGGCCTGCGGCCGGGCGCAAAAAGGGATGAAGGGGCTGGAGCTTGCTTTTGGAGTGCAGATGGCGCAGCCCATTCCTAGCTACTTCTGTGCTCAAGCGTCCAAGTTCCAAGATGGATAACGTTGTTTTTGGATGCTCTCGGGTGTTGCATGCTTTGGACCAATTTTTCCACGGCGTGGTCCTTGATGTCAGGCACGTACCTCCGGACCTCCGGATGGCGAAACATATAATTATAGGGACCAGAGTCGATTTGCTGATACTAGGAAAAGGGTTCAGGGTTTAAGGTTATGGGGTACAAACCCCCCGCTAGAACAGTAGTTTAGAGATCATGGAGACAAACCCAGATGCGAAAGGGTCGAGAAGCAAAGTCGAACAAGCGACCAGGCCTTCGCAGACACTGAAGTCCTCCGGATTTTTCGACGCCACCTATCGAGTTTCATCAGCGTGGCTGCCATGGAGCGGGCCGGATAGCCCAGCATACGGCTTGGGTTAAGCTTTAAATCCCCCTTGAAAATTATTTTTTTACATAAAACCCAAAAGGGTATTGAAAATATTCCTTTTATTATTTAGGTTCTAAGGGGAGTATAGAGCTCTGCTTTCCTATCGGACTGGAGAGGGGGAAGGGCAGCTGCGCATGTTTCTTCTGCCGGAGGGGGTAAGTAGAGTGAGAACACGAGGGATTTGAAGTGAAGAAACCGTGTCTGCGCATATTCGAACTGCAACAAAGTGCTCCCCTCTCTGGCTGCACAGGACCATGCTAAATCACAGTAGACAGTAAACTCCGCGTACGCTGCATCTTCTTCAAGTATGATTTCTGACATCAGAACTCAGCTGCGGTATAACGTGTCAAAAGCCACGAGCTGTCACCGCCAAATGGAGGGGATGCCCTAAACAAGTTAGGGTCCCTTTTTGACGGGTCCAATTCACGAAGCCTCATCTTTAGGGTATCCAAAATTTCCATAGTCTCGAGGATCCCCCCCAAATGCCCTCCCAATAGAATGCCAGCAGCCCACTTCGGGAATGTGGTTGGGGCACACGTCGTCGGCCACGATTGACATCTTCTGCATCGAAACAGTCACAAAGTCTCACGCCCCCAAAACCATCCTAAAGTCCTAGCAGCCCCCTAAACCCCAAGTAATTCAGAAGAAAAGCCCTACTACATGACGTGTCAGGAAAACGTGGTTTCGAAGTTCTTCGCCGTGCATAGTTGGAAGGCGCCGGGCTTGAAGAGAGCCTGCGACTGAGGGGCCAAGCTTCCCATTTTCTACTTCCGCCAGAAAGGGGAATCGATGGGCTTCAGGGTTTGGGGTCTTACTAGTAGGTGCTAAAGGACTGCACCCTAAACCCTCAACCCTAGACCCTAAACTTCGGTGGGGTCGAGGTCACGGAGTTTTATGGTTGGAGGATTCGGATATTCAAGTATCGGGGCTTCATGGCGCTTGCCTTGTGTTCCAAGCGTGTCAGGCAAGTGCGGGTGTCAGGAGCACGTCACCCCGGAACACCCTGTGTTGATCCCCAATTCTACACCTCTCCACGCCCCGCTGGCAGGACCTCGACGAGCTTCACCGACGTGGCTGGAACGATCCGACGCTGATGTCCGTGCCTCATGGGGGTTTTAATGTGGACGCTGTCGACTGCACCATGGGAAGTGGGAGTTAATCTTGGACCCTCTTGTGTCGGGGGCCCTCTATCGTCTGACGTTTGGTCTGGGGAGCTCCTCGTTTTCAATTTGGTAGCAGGAATGTTTGTGGCGGCACGCCTTGATTGTTTTGTTTTTTACGGGTCCCCCCCCCCCCCCCCCCCCCCCCCCCCCCCCCCCCCCACCCCCCCGGGAGGGGCGACTTCTGTTTCAAAGGGGACAATCATCATACCAGCGAAGACCCCTAATAGTAACAAGACCCACCCAACCAAGGAGTATCTCAGCAAGAGACCAAGCCCAGGCCCCCGCGGCCCACCTTTTTTAAAGGAGCGGACCCCCCAAAACCGCTCCTGCCTGAAAAATTGCAGAGGGTCCAATATGGGTAGTTCTTGATAGGGTTGGGCTGGTTTGGGCTCCCATATGAACCCTGTGTAAGCAAAAAACATGTACCCTTTATGTTTAGGGGTTAGGGTTTACCCACGGGAGTCCGGATGCAAAAAGGGTTTAGGGTTTGGGGTGGGTTGCTTCGGGGTCTGGGATGCCGCCTGGAAACCTCACCTGAACTAGGACCAGAGTGGCATGCCCTTTTTTAGGGTTTCGGTTCCCTTATAAGCCCTTTGTAACCATCCATGCCAAAAAAGGGCACACTTTTCATTCCTAGGTGACTCGACCCAAATCAGCAATGTGTTGGGGGGGCAAGCATTCAGGATTATATGTCGGATTTTTGGGATATATGATTTCGCCTTTCAGGCTTAGGATGGTTTGAGAAAAAGGGGGCCAACAAAGTTGCGGAGTTTAGGGGACCGCAAAGTAGGAGGAGTCCGGAAGCAAAAACGGGCTGCGATCCTCAGGGTTTAGGGTTTTGGGGTTTTGGGGTTTAGGGTTTAGGGTTAAGGGTTTGAATAGACGCACCTCTCACGTGCCTGGGGCGGTGTTTGCTGTCTGCGTTTCGAACCTCTCCTTGTTTCTTTCAAGGCACAGGCGAGCCGGCATCTGTACCTTTTGAAAGCTTTGACATCATTGCAGTTGCGCCGTGCACCCTAAACTCCTAAACCCTTCCCAAAACCCTACCTAAACCCTAAATCCTAACCCTAAAAAAAACCAAAACCCTAAACCCTAACGCAGAGTCGGGCACAGGTTTCGTTGGCCTGCAGAAGGCATCACAGACTACATCTTTCAGTACACCGGAGTCCAGGACCTCCGTCGGGGCTATTGGGGGCAAGTGAATGGATTTTGGGTTTAGGGTTTAGGGTTTAGGCTCCAAAGTCCGTTGCCCAAACAAGGGTTTATGGTCTAGGGCTAGGGTTAGGTGATGTGAAGGAGCTGTAAGGGAAATGCATCACCGCACCCCCGGCATGAAGAATGGAGGTTCCGCATAGGCAGGTACCAGTAGCAGAAGAACCACGGAAGTGGGAGACGATTATGTCGGGGAGCCGGAGGCGCCTTTGTGGAGATTTGAAGAGCCTTTGATGATCAGGTCGCCTATTTCTTCCACCTCTTCTCCACCTTCACGAGGCTGCACACAGCCTGTCGCACCAAGTGTCCCCGAAGAAATTTAGCTCCATACTCCAGGCATCTCGCCCTAAGCGTGTAAGCCCCAAAAATGCGTGTTTTGGGCTTACAGGGCGGCGTTGTCACAGCTCTGGGGGCCTGGTGCGGCACTGTCTGCAGGTGGGTTTCTGCACCAGCTCTTCTGAGCGTGCTGGTCTTCACGATTCGCAAATCCGAAAAGCTGAGTCGCGAGCAGGCGCTCGGGGTTTGGAGGGGAGCAACGACACGGAATCATACAAGCCCCCTGCCTGCCGTGCTCAGGGAAACCTAAACCTGTCATGACCTGGAGTCGCTCAACTCATGGAAGCCTAAACTACACCCTTAAGTTACCCTAAACTAGCATATTCCTTCTAGGTTAGGGTGCCCAACCCTCAACCCAGCCCCAGAGTTTAGGTCAACATTCCTTGATCCACCCAGATCACGCTCATGGACTCCATCTTTGGCTTCGGGCTTTGCATTTGGACGACGATCTTCCTTGCTACCCGGCACTGGGGATCCCGACTCTTTCTAGCCTAGAGCTTCCTAGCCCAGCGGTACCCTTTTCGCCCCCTTATAAAGCAACCAACCCCAAGAAAGGGTGCCCTTATTAGAATATGGTTTCTCGGCTACAAGAAGGTTTGGCAACTCATTTCTTGTATTCGGGCTTGAGGCTGAGGACCCCGACGTTTCACTGACATATATGTATGTGTGTGTGTGTGTGTATCATGTTGCGATGTTTTTTTTGTTGTGTTGTGTTCTGTTGTGTTATGTCATGTTTTGTTGTGTTATGTTATGCTATGCTGTGCTATGGGCCATGTATGTTATGCTACGTCAAGTTATCTTTTATATTGTGTTGTTGCAACGCTCGTTTTGTACTTGCAAAACCGCAGGCCCTTAGGGTTGCACGCTGAGGTTTGACGCCTTGTTGAAGATCCTCTAAGAGAAGATTTGGAGCACATGAAAGGAACCACTTAGGGGTACATCCTTAGGGGTCCAAGGTTGACTCCCTTGATTCCTGTCATTAGTCGCATCCCGTCTTGTCACCGTGTCATGGTCGTCATCGTTGTGGTCGTCCTTGTTGAGGCGCTGGCAGCTCAGACACAGCACTTCCGGTAGACTCCGGCCGGCCTAACGCCTCGCTTGCGTTCAGCGCTTATACTTTGATGGACGTCGAAGAAGCCTACTTCCGGCACCACTCTGTGCCTAGCCCGCGGTGGGGGAACCAGTAGGCGTTACGAATACGGGCGCTTCATACATCGAGAGCTGGCAATCCCTGGATGACAACGTTAAGACATTCAAGTTGGGCGTCCTAAGCGTGAGGGCTCTGGTCTTACCACGCGGCGAATGGCAGCTCCACCTGCTGCACCTTCAGACCCCCCTCCCCCCCCCACCGCGTCACAAGACATCGTTCTTCTATGTGCAAGAGTGGTCCCTGGCGGTCTTGTCCGAAAATGCCAGCATCTTCAAACAAAGAACCAAAATCATAAAAAAAAAAACCGACGAGTGTAGCCCTTGGTCGGCTCTTTCCCCGTTAGTTTGAATGTGTTCTACGCGGATGCTTGCTGAGAGCAGTCTGAGGGTTTGTTGGTTGGTTTTTGCGCCTGAAGCATTTCCTTGTGAATTCCAGCTGCACGCGCTGGGAATTCGTGTGCAGTAGAGCAGTCTGGTTTGCTTTTGGCAGGGTTTGCAGGGTTTCTTTATTAGCTGTTTTTGTTCTTCACTTCTTGATGAATTTCCCAAATTGTCGAATGGTGTTGTTGAACGGTTTGGTTGTGGTTGTGGTTGTGGTTCTGACCATCGTGGTAGGGTGCTGGTGGTGGTTATGCTGTGGTTACGGTTGTGGTTCTTGTTGCTGATGTTGTTTTTTTCCGTACTCTTGTTGTTACAGTCGTTGTTATTGTTGCTGTGAGGCGCGTTGTGCCTTGCAGAACTGAACAGCATGAGAAAGCCAATTTGTGTATTGCCGGGCCGGCGAGGCTCGGTACGAGCAGCTGCTGAACCTCAAAATCTTCCGCTGGGGGATGAAAGGTGCAACCCATGAGATCGTGCCAGTGGCTCGGCAGGTCAAGATGTTATTTACTATTTCACAACAAGCGGAATGCTGCCCTCCATCTCATGTCAGCAAAGAGGTACCCAAGTTCCACGTTTCGCGCGTGAGCCAACATGGACCTACTCAACTTGACAGACTGATCATATTTACTCTTACTGAAGAACCCCAAGGTTTAAAAAATATTCTTCCTTATGAGGGCAATATGGGGATTATTTACTGTTTTTATTTGGGGCGGGGGGGGGGGGTTCTTAAGCAACTAGTAGATGTTGAATCACCAAAGCGACTTCCCGCCCGGGAATCGTTTGCCTGCCAGCAGCTTGCAAGTGCTGCCGCCAGGTCCGAAAGACTTTCAAAGACGAGTACCGCGGGACGCCTGGGTATGGCTGCGTGCATTTCGTGCGCTTGCACAAACAAGTCATGCAGCAGTGAAACTCACATGTGTTGGTCACTAGATACCTTGAAGTTCGTGACTTCATCACTTGAAATCCGACTGAGTGTTCAAGCCAGAACCATGCTGTTGATGGCACTGGCTGAAACGTCAACTTCGTCAGCTCCAGTGTTTCGCAACCGGCCGCGTTTGCAGTTGCAGGACCCTCATGGAGTCCCTGCAGAATCTTTTGCACTGGTTCCTGTGTCTCGTGTTCATCGGCGAGAGTATCGCGGTCGTCTACTTCCTCACAGACTTGAGGAAACAAGTGATTCAAGACCCAGCTGGGATGACCTTTGGAATAGCGAACTCCACTGTGGTTCTCTTGTACAAGTACGTTCCTTGGACCCGCTTCGGAAAGCCAACCACACCCAACCCATAAGAAGTGGTTGGTTCGGCCGAGACTTCTTCGCGTAGGACATCTTAGGTCGAAGGGCCGTTCCTGATGCCTGCCTTGCTGGGGGGTGCGCTTGTGGAAATCACTACATGTACATATATACATTATATATATATATATATATGTATGTATAGAGTACCTGAAAACATTGTAGTAGAGTACAGAATCATGAGCAAATACGCTCGAGGTCATCACTGCCAACATCAAGATCGTCGATCTGGTGTGGACGCCTCTGTCCACTTGGCTGAGCATCTTGCACGTGTCAGTGCGCTGTCTGTATATATATATATACATATAATATATTCGATTATATTTACGATTTAGTATTTCATATTATTTAAAATGTGTGTCAGTACACAGGCAGCATTTATTACAGCTCTGCCCAATGAAGTCTTGGGTGTCACTTGAGCATGCGGTGAGGCAAGCAAGAGAACTTTCGGACGGATGTCGATCTTAAGTCTGCGATGGTTGTGAAGATCTATGTCGTCAAGCTCCTGTGCGAAGGGTGTACCGGGATGGATCAATGTCAGGTTTTTCAAAAGGAGGGTTTCGAGGATAGCCCGAGCTGGGAGCAAGAGCTGCAATGGATGTAGCATTGGAGTTAGATCGCCAGCCGAGGGGACAAAACCGAACACATACAAGCTCAACAATGCTACAGGAAACGGCAACTGAACGGCGTGGCGTGTGAAAATGGTAACTCTCCATGTTGAGCGGAACCCTTTGCCCACAAAAATGATCTCCGCATTTTCCCTTGCACCAGCCCCGGGACCTTCCCTCGCTGCCCCTCGGTCAAGCAAGGTTCATGGTCTACTACTACCCGTTCGCCTACACCATACTTGTCCAGCCCTACGTAGAAGGCTGCGACGGCGATGATCCCAAAGATTTTCGAGGCTGGGCGCATGCGTGGGAGGCTTGCAGGTTCTTCAGCGTTTGAGTTCACTCCGCCAGCTAACCGCGGCGCTGACTATCTTGGCCACAACGGGCCTAATGCATCCGCCGCAAGTTCGGACCGTTGGCTGCGGCGGCTGCTGCCGCGACTACTTGTTTTCTTCTGCTGGAAGCCTCCTCCGGCTCATCTCCGCTTCTTTCATCCTCCTCCTATGCTCGCGGCTACATCTGTATTGCTGCCACGACTGCTGCCGCTTTCACTGCTCGTGCAGTGTCCGAAAGTTCAAGCGTCATTGAACCCAGCCAGCTCCAAAAGTGATGGATCCTCACTTGCTCTTGTATTGGGTACGATTGGAAACAGCCAGTCTAGACACAAGAACGCCATACCCCAAACGCAGCAAGCCGAGGCCCCCATAAACCCTTGAGAGGCACTGAGCAGTGCGCTCAATTGTGGTGGTTTGGGGGTGCTGCCTCCAGAATATCCAAACATCCGTATTATATTAGGAACCTGAAAGGGACCATAATTTAGATAACTTACCCTGCAAAAGCCCTAAAATCAGCTATCTGACATTTTGCCAGGCTGCCTCCTGAAGTTGCGCCAGGATTTGCAAGTGCTCTTCATTACGCAGGCAGCGCTGGGGTTGAGTGGTGAACGGTTGGGACTGGGAACTTGGGACGTTTACAGTACTAGTAAGTTCAACACGAATTCAGGGTGGCGACAGCTGTCCGGATGATGGGGATGTGCTGGCCGGCTAGTTGACGTCGGGGGTGTGAGGTGGGCTGGCGGTCGCACGAGGTGCTGTCATGTACACTCTGATTATGATGACAAAGATGTTTCTACTACCAGAAAACAACAATAGCATCAGTTGAGACGATTCCAGACATAAACTATAGAGGTTATGCTTACAACTACTCTAACTATTACTATTCGCGTTATGCTTCATTATCGTGGTCATGATTCTGATTACTACTACTATGACTACTAGTACCAGAATCTGATTACTATAACTTTGGCTATGGCTATGGCTACGGCATTTCTATTGTATTGCTCTTGCTCTTGCCGTTCTTATTCTTATTATTAGTAGTGTTTTTTCTCTACCCAGGTACCTGCAGGCCCCCGGGTTTGCCGTTAGACACCGGGGGGGGGGGGGTGTAATTGCGGCTTGCCTTTGAGCGTTTGTATTTTTCTGTCGAGCTGCTTGGCCAGGGGTGAGGAGTTTGGGGGATAATAACGTCCACTAATGCCCATTCGTATCGCGACCGTGCCAAGAACTCTCGTATTGGCAGTGTTTTCACCTCTTGCACGACATACTGCACGAGGGCCCTGTCACATGCTTCTTCCGAACATGCCCAAAGGGCTGCGCGCCGAGAACAAACGAGCTTGAGAAGCAGTGCCGCGCCTTGCATTTGTCCATCGTTGCTTGTGGAATACTAGCAGCTGGATGTTTGCAAACATCGAAAAATCACAGTGCTTCCAGCACACGAGCTTGCAGTGCATGCACACCTGCCTGAGGGCAAGCGCCAAAAATCCTATGCAATGACTTTCTTAACAATCGGCAAAAACCCATGCCAGCATCATGAAAAAGCATTGGAAGCTTCCCACAGCACTGACGTAGACCGCGTGAAGGCAGAGGTAGGGGCCTGCGGGTATCACTAGTACCACCGTTTACTCAAAGATCAATAATACATTGCCGGTATTTTGCTTACGATTAGTACTACTTTCCCTGGTATGTTTAATTACTACACCCTAAACCCTCAACCCTCAACCCTAAATCCTGAACCCTAAACCCTAAACCCTAAACCCTGAACCCTGAACCCTGAACCCTAAACCCTGAACCCTAAACCCTAAACCCTAAACCCTAAACCCTAAACCCTAAACCCTAAACCCTAAACCCTAAACCCTAAACCCTAAACCCTAAACCCTAAACCCTAGCCATTTTGGCTCAAGCAAACCAACCGTGCTGGCAGACAGCGCCGACCCAGTTGAAGTCATTGCGGCGATGGGCACTGCTCCCAAGGCGGCGCTGACTGCAGCCTTCACCGCTGCGAAAGCGGACGCGGCCACGCCCAAGCCGGCGGCGCAGATCTCTGAGATCACGGGCAAGGCAAAGCCGAAGTCTGCAGCCGGCACTATCGGGGGATTGACGCAGCCAGCGAAGAGCCCTGCGCTGGCCATCCCTCCCTTCACGGGACTGGCTGCTATCGCCGACGCCCGAGCAGGCTCCGGAGTCGTGAGCCCTCTCAGAGGATTACCGCCCAACATGCATAGGGTGGCGACCCTAGAGGCGCTCCAGCCTCGCATCGTCTACAGGTGCGAGCTCTCCAACGTGGCCGGCAGGGCATATGCCTTCAAAGGTCCTGTGCGCCCGCTGTCGTCCTTGTCAGAGGTGTGCGTGCCTCCTCACGGGGCCAGGATTGGTGTGGTCCTGGAGACCCTGGAGTTCAGGTACGAGCACTTCCGCACAGGGCTCCCGGCAGGCGCTCTGGTGCCACTGGTCGTCAACGAAGACGGCCCGCCCGTGGGCACGCCGCCGTACGCAGTGTACGTCCGGCCCTCCACTTCGGCCGCGGCGGCCTCGGCCAGCTTCGCCACACCCAGTGCAGGCACGGCCATGGCATCCCAGACCCGCGATGACCGACGATTCGCCGACGCCCTGACCAGGATCGCCACGGACTCGGCGTGCACGCCTGACTTCGCAACCACGACCAAGGCGGCCGTGGCAGTGTTGGACGTGGATTCGACGCTGGCGGCTATGCAGGCGCTGGCCTTGCCTGCCAAGATAGCCTACGGCACAGTGGTCAAGCCCCAGCCACTAACCAAGACTCAGGCATGCTACAAGGTCGAAGCCGCAATCACGGTCGACACCGTGACCCACACTGCGGCTGCGTCCAAGTACACCCTCCAGGCCGACGGCATCACGCTGAAGCGTTCTAGCGACCTCCAGTCGGAGGAATTCGGCAGGGCGTACTTCCTCGTCGGCAGGCACCTTGGAGCCAAGGCGATCGTGATGGGCGTGTCACAGACGCTGATGGCAAACACTGGCGGTATGCTGCTCGCAGCCTTCCAGGGCCACTTGGTCCCGTCGCTTGCCGAGTACACGGCGTCGACGAACCTGTACGCTGGCTGCGTCTACGCAGCGCGCCACTTGTTCACCACCCCGGTCTCAGCCTACGGAGAGTGCGAAACTCGCCTGGTTTGCGTCTTCGCCAGGGCCGAGCTTGAGGCGTGCCTTGGCATGGACTCGGCCACGCTGAGGGCCAAGGTGAACAGCTATGCCGCGGCCGAGGTGATCTTGGTCCCACAGGCGCTCACCGAGATCCTGGCGCACACGGAGGCTTACGAGGGGGTCGTCCAGTTCCTGGACATCCTGTACTTTTCGTCCGCCCTGTCGACCGGGGCCACAGGCCACGCCTGCTCGACTGATGGGCAGCGTCTGACAGGACCGGTGCTCGCCACGGTTGCCACAATGCCACCGTCGGCCATCTCCTCGTGTGGGGACCTGTCCGCCCTGTTCTCCAAGGCACTCGACATGGCGGACCCGTTGGCCGACTACGCGGCAGCCGGACTGGCCGGGACGGGCAAAGCCATCGGAGCGCTATCGGCGACAGTGTCGCCAGCGGCTGCGGCAGCGCCCAAGGCCCTGGCAGCGACCAGGACTCTCCAGCTGGCCACATTGAAGCAGCAGCAGAGTGGCAGGGTCGCACAGAGCCATGCTGTGGAAGAACGGAAGCAGGCGCTGATCTCCGCGGGCTCCGCGTACGTCCTCGAGGTGTACGGAGTGGTGCACTCGGCTCCACGTTTCGGGACACTGGTGGCTTTGGCGCCGTACTACGCCACCGCGGAGGCTGTCTCCGACCCGTCGGCCTTCCACTTCCTTCGGTGCGAGTACTCGGGCTTCATCACAAAGCGTTTTTCGTCGCTGAAGTCAGGCCAGGGAGTGGCTGGCGCCAAGGCGCTCGTGGCGATCACTGAGCAGCTGCCCGCAGACGTGACCGACGCGCTTGCTACTGACCAGTCGGCGGCCGTCAACAGGATCAAGACCCTCCTCAACAGGTACGGGCTCTCGCTCAGCGAAGCATCTGCCTTCCTCTCCTCAAAGGGCCAGGAGGCCGCGACAGCGATCACGGCCATTGGCCGCGAGGAAGCCGCTGCCAGCGCCGCGGCCACGCTCATGGCCTATTGTGAGAAGCACGGGGTGGAACTGACTGTTCTCGAGTCCCCTGCCCTCCAACAGTTGGCAAGCCGTGGAGTCGTGGATCCCGTGCACCCTGACAGGACCACCGAGCTGATCAAGACGCGCCAGAAGCCGCAGCTGATAGCTGCTGCACTGCGCAGCGGATTGCGGTCGGTGGTCGGATCCGCCATTGACGTGCTCGTCCAGGCCGTGGAGAGCGTGGCACCCGGCGCGGACTCAGCCGCGTGTTCGAAGGCGGTGGCCCTGGCCCAAGACGTTGCGGTCGTCATTTCTCCAGCCCTCACAGCTGGGAAGATCACCAAGGACGTTGCGACAGCCTTGGGGGCGTACCCGACCGCGATCCAGAATGCGGCCGCCGAGGTTGTCACGCGCACAGGCAACACCGGGATTGCCGCGCTGAAGGCGCCAGTGGACACCACTGACTTCCTCTGAGGCGCTGCCGACGCCACAGTTTTGAGCGCTGCTGCCGGCTCGATTTCCGCCGCGGCTGCCGCGTGTCCGAAGTAAACAAACATCGTCAAAAACCAGGACGCGGGGCGGCCCGGCGAGGACAGAACCAAAAAAAAAAAAAAAAGAGTGAAGTCTCACCCATATAGCCCCTTGCCACATGTTGCTTTCTAGGAGGAATGGCCGCTCAGGTTGTGCTATTCTGGAAACAGTGTTCATACCTGATCTTTGGACGGCTTGCGGCAACCTCCACGTATCTTCACTAGGCTGCAGTGTGCCTAGGAATAGTCAACCGGGTCCGATGGGGGAGGCTTGCTTTCAAGGTGGAAAGGTGATCGAGGTATACTGTTAGCTATCATGGTTTGAGCCCCTCTGTTGGACACGCCGACTGGGTCAAAGAACTTCTGTTGGCCAATGGACGCGTACCAGTTCGTTTTGAGTTTCGTCTGGGATCGATCAGGGGTCAGCTCTTCAGTATTATGGCTTAGAATTGTACATCCGACGGTGGTAGGAGGCGGGTATGCTGACCCCGGTTGGTTCATTACTGGTGGTCAATGCACCCACTCTGGAGATCTCGACAGGACTTGCCTCGCCCGCTTATGCCAGTGTGAGAGTCGAAACCCTAAACCCTAAACCCTAAACCCTAAACCCTAAACCCTAAACCCTAAACCCTAAACCCTAAACCCTAAACCCTAAACCCCAAACCCTAAACCCTAAACCCTAAACCCTAAACCCTAAACCCTAGCCCGGACATGTGGATGCAGGTGGCCTTCCAAGCCTTCGAAGTGGTGGTCTCCGTTCTGATGACCTATAAGACGGTCTGGTCCGAGCTCAGGAATCGGCGACACTGAGATGGCAGTTTGGGACTGCGGCGTTCAGGGTTTAGGGTTTAGGGTTTAGGGCTAGGGTTTAGGGTTTCGGGTTTCGTCTTGGTCTCTGAGTGCAGTCCGGCAGCCGCATGTTGAAGAGGTTTATGACACGTGACATGGCCGTCTAGCATGCATGGTGCCCAAGGACAGAACAGAAATCTCACGTATTTGGAGCTCCAGGCACCCTGCAGATTTGCGTTTTGCTGCGGTGCACACAGTCAAGTGGGAGAGCTGCAGAGTTCCGTAGTTTGTTGCATCGCTGGCTTCCCTGGACCTCTTCATGCAACGTCTGACGTCAGATCGGCATCATTCAGTGACAGAAAGAGAGAGAGAGAGAGAGAGAGAGAGAGAGAGAGAGAGAGAGAGAGAGAGCGAGGGAGGGAGGGAGAGGGAGGGAGGGAGAGGGAGGGAGGGAGGGAGGGAGAGACAGGACAGACTTCTGGGCGGATGCTTTCAAACACTCCTCCACAAAGGCATTGTACCCGGAACCGTGTGCACATGTCCGTGGCTTGCAACTGGGTGCGTGCATGCTCGAGTCTTATGCCTCTTCTTCTGAACCTCAAGCCCACATTCTGTAAACCCCACAGCTAAGCACCCGCCAACACCCACCAATTAAGCCCTAAACTCCCTAAAGCCTCGGACAAGTGCAGGCAATGATGCCCGAGTATGATGAAGCCGACCCTCGTTTGCAACTCTGGGCCCGGGATCGGGTTGCCCGGTTGTTAACGGCTACAGCCTATAGATCCAGAAACCCTCATCCAAGAAACCCTAAACCCTAAACCCTAGGTCCACGCGGTCGCCCCCCCCCCCCCCCTTCTAGGATGTGGCCTAGCTAATGAGAGATCGCAATACTAGACCAAAAAAAGACCCGGAAAACATGCCTGCATTGCTTGAACGCCCTTGCCTGGTTGACCACAGGCAGCTGACGTGTGAGGGAAGTGACACTGTTCCTGGGACCATGACTGAAATGGCCTAGGACAACGTAGTCGGGTGAAGGATAAGGAGTTGTTACATGCAGTATGGACCCAAACTGCAACATATAGCATACCAGTTCATGGTTTAAACAGACACCAGACAAACCTGCCATGCTAGTTTGACTCCCAAACTGAGCACAGGAGCAGATTGAGGAGTACATGCAGCTGGCTTTGAATTTCGGCTTCATCTCCATGCATTTTGGCCACATTTCAATGCCAGAGGGCTTCGATCTGGTCCCAACTTGTGTTTCGGGCGGATTCAGGTTCACAGGTTCGGTGTTTTCCGAGGAGCCCTTGGCTCTTTCCAGGCAGTTTTGGAAAAGGGAGGAGACATGGCAAGCATGATGGGTGTTCCCACACATTCTACCTATAGATTACAACCATGAGCCCTACACAGCAACAAAGTCCACAGGGGAGAAGCCACAGGCTCTCTTCCTTGTAAGGCAAATGCCTGGTTTAGGGGCCTTTCGCCTTCTTGGGCTCAGGTTCGGCGTGACATGCCCCGTCATTTGCATCCTGTGCTGGCTCAACAACTTCATTGTCAAGCGACTCCTGGCCTATAAGATCTCCTATGCGCACCGGCGGGTGGCTTGGGCGCGCATTCGGGTTGAGACGGGTTGTAGGGCTGTCGGGTTTACACCCTGATTTTCCCCCCCAGGCCTTAGGGCGCCATCCTTTTCAGCAAGGAACAGACAGTACATGGTGCCGCCAGCAGAATTTTTAAAGGGACATTGAGGGCGCTGGCTTTGGCATTAATTAAAATATAGGTTTTTTCTTGTGTATCCGGAAGCCACCAAAGCCCAGAAGCGGGGCATCCAGAAACGCAGGGCCAGGTGACTGGTGTTGATGCCCCCTTGGGCTGCAGGGACCACAGGGATGGGCTGAAGAAGGGTTTAGGGTTTAGGGTTTAGGGTTTAGGGTTTAGGGTTTAGGGTTTAGGGTTTAGGGTTTAGGGGTACTTAAAGCCCTACTTGTAATACTACCCAGGAACATCCAAGTACGGCTCAACCCCAACATCACATCATGCTCTACGCCCTCTGTCCGAATTTTGGGCCAGGACATAGGACCCAGCTTTAGGGTTCAGGGTTCAGGGTTCAGGGTTTAGGGTTTAGGGTTTAGGGTTTAGGGGAATACGATTCCCCCACCACCCTGGCCACCGCGTTTGTTGAGGTCATTCCCAGGGTCGAGGAGGGAATTGGCTCCTGGAGCAACATCCTGTCCTTCATTGCCTATTCAGGCGTGACATGCACCTGCTATATTGCCCCTTGGACCTTTTGTTGCCCTAAACCCTAAACCCTAAACTGGCTCTGACTGACTTGTTTTCCACGTTTGGTCTGTTTGGCTTGCAGGACAAGCAAGTGCTCCCGCCGAGGCATATCCGAACCTTTTATTTTTGCAGGCGAGCTAAGAATTGCACGCGAGGATGTTCATGACATTACCTACCCCCCCCCCCCGACCTCAAAAAAAACGCAACAAACACAAGGAGGCTAACTGTTTGGGTTGTTCAGGTAGTCAAGGTAGATCGAAGCAACAGATCCGGCTCCTGCTAGCTCCACCCTAGACCTGCGAGCCAGAACCCACGAGCCCTGCTACCACCCTGACTCCAGCTAGCTCAGGTCTTCTTTGTGTTCGACTTTATTCACCTTTCTTTCAAGTGGAAGCTCATTGCCTTTATCCTCAGCGAGAAAGCGACGCATCTGTCTGGGGTTCGAGGGTGGCTCTTTTGGCTATAATGTGCACCGCGAAGTGTTTGCAAAGGCTAGGTAGTGTAAAGCAGCGCAGTGAAAGTGCAGGTCCCGCAGAGTGAGGCCCTTTTTTAGTGTGCTAGGCCATGGAGGGGCTCGATCCTTTTTCGGGGTACCACTTCATACATTTTATGAAATTCCTCAAAAGAAGCACGAGGCCAGGTCCACCCACACATCGGATCAAACCATGCACATCTTCTGGGGTTGTTCATGGAGTTAAGGGGGTGGGTGTGGGGCAAACCCCTAAACCCTAAACCTTAGATCCTAAACCCTAAACCCTATGGAGTGGCGTCTGAGCAATCAGTGGTCCCGACTGCCCAGGCGATGATGGCTTTAAAGTATGGAATGGAGGGGTTCTTCGGGGCCAAGATGGTGGCGCAGCTACGGGTGGAGGAGCACAACGAGGAGGTGCCACAAATTTGGTCAATTTGGTCCTTGCTTGAGCCTTTTGGGGGGTTTGTGAGGCAGCGGCTGATCTTGGCTTTCTCTGATGTTACTTCTGCTTTTTAAGTTGAACTTGGTAGCCCAGTGGCAGGGTAGCCCAGTGGCATGGTAGCCCAGTGGCACCTTTTTGCCCTTCTTTGGGTTCTGGGTTCCCTTCTAAAGTCCCCAACCCCCAAAAAGAGGGTACCCTTACCATCACATGGTTACTGGGCTATTCAAGTGAAGGCCTGTGGGCATGAAGACTGCGATTCTGTCGTGCCGGTTGGTTTGACAGGTTTAGGGTTTAGGGTTTAGGGTTTAGGGTTTAGGGTTTAGGGTTTAGGGTTTAGGGTTTAGGGTTTAGGGGCTCTTGAAACTTCAGTCTTCCACAGGCGTGTCGAGGGACAGTTGCTGCGGCTCCTTGCCAACCCGACTACAGTTACACATATGGGGGAGTTTACGCAAATTAGGGGCACCTTATTGGGGTCCTTAGTACAAGGGAGTCCTACTATTTGGGAGTCTATTTTCGGTGTCCCTTATGTCGTAAACCCCCACATGTCAAAACCACAAGGAGCAGAAGGCATGGGTTTGAAGTCATGCAGAGCGGCTCGCTCTTATACTAACAGTCCCTAAAAAGGGATGATAGTAGGGGGCATTATCATCTCTATTCAGGACTGGTACTATAAGGGGGAACATCCCAACTCGTCGCCATAGTTCTTCCGTGCTGCTCAACGAAGTGCTTGGGAATCCCCCGAGGTGCTAGATCTGGTGCTTGCCAAGAACAAGGAACCCTGATCATCGGCCACAGAAGCTGTACCATCAAGGCCACTTGGGGTGTTAAGGTGTATAGGGGGCTTAGGATCATGGGGGTCTGGAACTTGGAAAAAGCGTCCTTGGTCTTGATGGATGCCGCGGCCCACCACAAAAGGTGGTGAGAAGCCTCCGCGTGCTCGCGGGCGCGCAGTACAACTACTGAAAGCTGCCGAGGGCTGGTGTGCATCTCACGATACCTCACGACAACTCGCAGATAAGCGCCGAACCAAGGCATCCTGGGGGTGTATGTAGGGGTAAGGGCGCCTATTGCGATGGCCCCTGGAGATGTTCGAGTGTGAAAACTCATCTTTGTCACACACGGGTACATCAGGTTTGAGCGCCGTGAGGTAAAGATCTTGCAGCATGCGCGCATGTGTGCTGGAGACGCTAAAAGTGAAGCTGGCATTGGGCAGGACTTCAACAGCATGTGATGCACACTTGTGCAAAATCGCACAGTCCGCCCCTGCAGCTGCAAAAACCTTGTGTGCAGATCGGCCAAAGACTGCCGCGCGCACACGTGTATGAATTAGAAGTCGGCCTATGGCCCAGGATCTAAGATCCTCTTCTCACCCCAATACTTGGAGGTGCATGGGTACTTATAACCTAACCCAAATTAGGGGGACTTAGGGGGCTTACAAGAAAGCAGTTCCGATTGGGGTTATAAGTACCCTGAACCTCCAGGGAACCAACCCCCTTCGGCCGCAGAGGCCCCCCGTGCCGATCCAGGCGCGGCAGGGGATGTTGGAACATGATCTCCATGATCCCAGAGCAGCTTCATGGCCCTCCTTTCATTCCTTTTTGGAACAAGGTCTATGTCCCTCTTGACCCCCGTCCCCAACATAAAACAAAAAAGCGAGCCCTACTTAAGAACCACCCGCACAAGTCCTGAAGCACGCGCACTTTGGGATGTCGTGCTCTGGGGGGGCTGAGACTCGCGGACGAACAAGGGAGGTGAGTATGGGCCAGTATGGGTGTTGCAGTCCCCCCCCCCCTCTCCGCCTCCAAATCTGAAAGCAGATGAAGTCACTCCCACCACATTTGTGCAGCTTCATATGCCTGGGCTAGCTTCTGGCCCCGATTACAACTGCACTTACAAGCCCCCGAAGTCCTCTAAGTAGGTTACAAAGTCAACACCAGTGCGCCACCCTCTTCTCGCACGTCAGTGCCACACCGCTTCAGGCTCAAGATTGTGGTAGTATCTTCTCCCGGCTTCGGACAATGTCATCAGTTGCAAGAGGTCGCGCATGGCCCGTCGAATCCAAGCACTGCGTCTCAAGTCCCAGGAAAGTTGTTGCACAAATCCTCATTCTAGCTCCAGCTCGTCCCTTGACACCTCGCATGTACATCTCTATCCTTGGGCGCTGTTTCCCGTAGTCTTGGGCACGCCTATGCAGATATACGGTCGTCAAGCCAAGGTGCGTATGCAACAACGGTAGAAACCCTGTTTTTTCCAATTGGTCGCCAGCTTGCCCCACATGGCGGGTGCGGCGCAATCAACTGCTGCAGATGGCTTGCCTTGGCCGAAGTGCAAGACGGAGCCTAGCCCAGCTGTTGTGCTGGATCTTGCCGAGTGTTAGTTCACAGTATTCGCTACCCCTTGCAAGCAGACTTGCCGATGAGGAATGTCGTGGGTTTGTGGGTCGCGCTTCTGCTGAGAAGTAGGAAACTTGCGTGTGTTGCTCTGCCATGAGCCCAAAGATCTTTTCCGGGTCGCTAAGGAGTCTTGTAATTCATTACTTCCAAACACTCGTCACCTCGCTTCTATTGTTAGAGATCCTCCCGTGTGGTTTGTCAGGTCAGGAATGGTTGCGTGCTCGTTATGTAACCTATGTGGAAGATGGCCCAACATTACCTGCTGCCTTGATTGACATAGCAAAGACTCGGTTGAGTTTTCTTGCCATGCGAGTGTAGAAAAAGAAGACTTGGAAGATGAGAGCAGAACAACGTGACAAAATAGGAAGACTGTAGATCACTCGCCAAACATGCACCTCACTCCCCAATCGCTTCCGACCCAAGCAAGGACATGGACTGGGACAAGAAGCCCCTGGGCCGTGGTTACTTCGGAGAGGTATGGCCCGGAGCTCAGAATTGCAAAGAGGGAAGATGAGACTTGGGCGGCTGTGGGCCCACATGTCCTGCGATGAGCTCGGGGAGGCTGACGGGTTGCATGTGGCTACAGAAAGGGCCCACTTCCAACTTCCAGTTTGGACCATGCAGACACCGCCTCAGGCGCAGGATCAGCACGGCACACTGCAGGGGTTTAGAGTTTAGGGTTTAGGGTTTAGGGCTTAGGGCTTAGGGTTTAGGGGTTCAGTCCGCTTCCAAGCACGAGGCGCTGCACCCGCCCGGCGAAGGCGCATTCCCAGCTCATCTGGGCAGTCACTTGGGCTTCGCACCTTCGGGTCACGGAGGACACGTGGGTATGTCACCAAATAGGGGTACCCTGAATTTACCCCCAAAATAGTACAGTCCTTATTAGAGGAGCCCCAAAAGGGTACCCCCTATTTTCGGAAAACCCCATGTGGCCTTTTCAGGTTGATACCTCCACATGCCTTGGCATGCTTAGGGTGCAAGCTGCTGTTTCGCTGTCACTGGTCACCCTGTGAGCTGAGGTGAAGAAGATCCCCAAATCGCTTGTTCAGCCTTGTGGCAGCACCGCAGTCTTCTCGGGGTTCATGCCATGGCCGTGGCCCAGACTTGACTCAGAATGCAGGGTAGTCAGGATTTTTTCTACTACAGCCTAGCCGAATACGTAGGAACCTGCAAGAAGCAAGATGGGGCTTTTTTTTTTTTTTGGGGGGGGGGGGGGGGGGGGGGGGGGTTACTTCCTGTTCATATTTGAGTCATGCTGCGCTTCTGGCTGCCAGGGTTCAGGACTCAGGGACAAGCAGCTAGAGCGATTGCACAGCCACGTGTGCTGTTCCTTCGTTTCAGGGCTGCTGGTCGTCGTTTAGCCGCTAGTCCGCTTCGAGCTGTAAAGGGGGACAAAGCAAGCCTCCATACCATGACCCTTGCCAAACCCAAGAAGCCAAGTCAACTCAAGGGTACAGTGAAATTTGAAAGCAAGTCCCGTACCTAAAGCCCAAATCCAGAAGCCTCACATCTTCAAAACGAAGACCCTGCATGTTCCACAAAAGCCTACGGAAGTGTCACCAAACCTGGCAGGCAGCATAGCCTCACCGAGCAAATGGAAAGGGAGAGGCTCAGCTGATCCTACTGGGAATCGCCCCGGGTTTAGGGTTTAGGGTTTAGGGTGTAGGAGTTTGGGTTTAGGGTTTAGGGTTTAGGGTTAAGGGTTTTGAAATCCGAGAATCCGACCATTCAGGATTTGGGATTTCGGCAAAAGAAATCCGAGGGTCCTGCTCTTCCACTTCCTTCTATGCACCTGGCTGGGCTTCGAATTTACAAATATGCTTTAGGTTTAGAGTGGAGAGTTCCCTTTCTTGTTTTTCCAGGGGTCTGGGGCGCATAGGGCAGATTCTACAAGCCATGCCGTTCCAGAACTGCTCTGTCAGTACCCTAAACCTCCAACGCATATCAAAGCAGGTAGCAAAAAAAACACGATCCAGCACGAATCGTTTCAATTGTCGGTGATGGACAGGCTTCCAAGGGGGGGGGGGGGGGGGGGGGAAGACGACGGGGGTTTGGAAATTTAGACGCACCGAAACTAGGTGGAGCACCCACAGACCTGCTGCGAGCCGTGAAGACACCCCAAAGTTTAGCAATGGAAGGGGTCGCAAGTCGAGGGGGGGGGGGGGGGAGAAGCAGAGTGCTGCCCAGGATAACGATCATGCGCAGCCTAAGACACAAGAACATTGTGGAGCTGCACTTCAGTGCCTTGGAAACCTTACGCCTGGTGCTATGGACATTCTCACTGCATTGAGCCAGAAAGACCTGAACTGTTTGGGGCTGATGTAGTGTGAGTAGCGCTCGAAGCGGATGGCCGTCCTTAGCTGACATGATGGTCTTGAGGAAAGGGCACAGGCAGCTCGATCGATCATGAAGGGTTCAGCGGTTGTAGTGTCGCGAGGGCTGAGGCCCTTCCGGGATCAAAAATTAGGGTCACCCTCCAAAGTGGATTCTTCCGTGAGCCAAGACTTTGACGACGACAGCCACATCTTCCTTGGCATGGACTCTATGCGTGATTTCGACTGGGTTCGCCCTGCACCCGAATCCCTATCACGAGGCTTGCCAGTTTCCGAAAGGTAACCCCCACAGTTCGTTTCCTCAACTGGTGCTTTGGTGGCAGTCGCGCTGTCAGAAAGACTGGCCAAGGCTCTCGCAGGATAGGGCGTTTTAGGGTTCATGTGTTGCCGTGCACTGAAGAAACCTGCTGCAATCGGCCGGCGTTCTTTTTTCGGATCTCTCAGTGCTGACAGACGGGCGACTAAGGAGTTTGCTGAGGGAGGTGGCATGTTCGACCTCTTGAGCAAGGTCTGGAGCACAAAAACCCCTCAACCGCACTCTCGCTTGCAAATGAAACCCACCTGGGGACTGCAGAAGCGATAGAATACACTGAGGGACCGTGGCGCATAAGAAAACAACGGCCTAGGATAACAGCTTTGTGCGGGGTCCAGGCAGAGGGAGAAGAAGAAAAGACGAGGAAGCCCAGTCTAACCCTAAACTCTACACGCTAAACCCTAAACCGAAGCATAGTTCCTCTACTGCTTCCCCAGAAAGATGGACTTCGAGCCACAGACGTCGGCATCAAGAGCCAAAGATGTGGCATGTTCTTATGCCCACCCTGTCCTCCGTCCTCCTCCTCCCCACCTTCCCTTCCTTCCTCCTTTCCCCCCCTCCCGCCCGCCACTCTTCATAGGCCCCACTGCTGCGCACTCTTTGAGTGTACTGCCAGTTGTGGTCAGAGAACCTTGTGCAGTAATGGGTGAGCAGCGAGAAGTGTCCAAGCAGAACATCTCACCACCACTGTCGTGCATCAATACGCTGCCTGATTCAGTATCCCAAAACACCCCCAGTTTAGA